TTCCTGCTCCTTAGTCCTCTACGCACTCCCTCACTAGGGAACACAGCCCCAGTGACACCAAGGGACACAGCCAAGATAGTTTCATCAGATTAGATCAATAAATACTGACAGCCTAGAGATCAGTTTTATAAGCAACAGGTTCAACAGATACAAGCCTGCCAACCCAAAGCAGCTGGGTCAAAAGCAACATCAGCTTCCACCATGCAATTCTGTTTCAGCTCTGGTTTGTATTAAAGGTAAGGGGGCTCACGCACCACCTAAGAAACAGCTCCTCTGCTGCCTCCGGTTCAGCTGGGAGACAGGCTGAATGTTTTCCCCTTGCACAAAACATGTATGCATCTACTTTGTTTTGTGAGCATGTGCAAGCCACCAGAGTTCTCAAGAAGATATTGGTAGTTCCTGCAGGGAAGGTACAGGCTCTTCAGAGACAGGTACCTGTTTTGAGGAAGCAGCTGCTCCCTTCCTGGATTTTTAAACCACAGTTCAGCAAACATCCATCCAAATGCAGATGGGTAACACAGGACAGGTAGTGCTGTAATGGAGTTTTTCCACACCGAGCTGCTATTTCCGAGTAGTAAGTTTCTCTTGATTAGATGGACAGAGAACATCAGCCAGCTCACAGCCCTCTGCAAAAGCTGTGCTCCGATTCTAAAGGCGTATGGAGGCCTCCCCATTAGCTTCCCAGACAGCTGCTTTGTAAAGGCAAACCCATGCCAGGAAGGATGGAAAAGCTGACTGAAGCTCTCAGTATTTCACACAGCCCAACACATGATGAATTATCATGGCCCTGCTCCTCATACCCCTACTGCAAGGATGAGCAAAAGGGAGGAGAAAGACCAACTCTCAGACATTTCTAACCTCAGAAAACCAAGACTATACCGGAGCCCAACATTTGGTCTATGTGTAAGATCAGTAATTACCACATGTGTTTGAAGCCATTCATTTTCCTGAGCTGTCTAGACTAGCAAAGCTCTAGGGTGGGGAAAAAGTATTCACTAGAGAGGAAGAGAATATGTTTAGCACCCTAACTACAGAAAATGAGTGCTTTCTCCAGCAAGATCCTTCCTACATAGTTTCTGAGCGACCCAGAAGGTATAGAACAGGTGCCATCAGTGTCCCTATCCACAGGGACAAACCAAAGCCTCAGCTGCAAATCCAAGCCTCAGCTCACAAAACTATCAGCCTTTCAACTGAAAAGTTATCTACTGTCGCTCCCCCCTACTTTGTTTCCCTTTGTTGTTGCTTCCAAGTGTCTCACCAGCATCACCACCCAACCTCTCATATTTTCCCACGCTTGGCCTTTCTTGCATCTACTCTATTCCCTGCTCTTTACCCATACGTACCACCATAAAGCATTCCCCCTGTGTGGCAACCCTTCCTACCAGGAGCAGCAGAGCAGTCAGTGAGCTGAGACTTGGCACCACATTCACTGGGACTCCAATTTAATTTTTACCTCCCCCCGCAAGGTCCTGAATAGATGCCAAAGGGAACGTTCATTTTGGCAGTCAAGTCTCCCAGAAGAAAAGTTACAGCCAAAGTGCTGGGGGAGGGACCAAGCCAGCCTACTAATAGGTTGATTATAATATGAATTTGGGGAATTACTCCCAAATATGCCTACCCTCCTGGACCTAGGGCCCTCAGGGGTGGAGTGGAATACCTAACTCAGCACTTTCAGCTTCTTTGCTTCGTTTGGAGCCAGGGAGGGTGGAAAATCCTGTCTGTACTCTGCCTGGCAAAAACATGGTTTTCCAGAAGGGTGGCTGAGCTATTGTTTTCTTCCCTTCTCCCCCATAAAGCCTGTTTTCCCTCATACTTACATAGCAGCTCCCTCTGCCTCATCAGAAAAGACCTAGAATTTAAAAGCTTCCACCTTGGATTAAAAAGGTGGATATCAACAATTTTTCTCTGGAAAACCCAGAGCTACTCCAAGAAGCAGCACTGAACATGATGTCTCAAGAGTCTTCTCACCGCTAGCTTCTCTGGAGCACACTGGACTGCTGAAGAAGACAGTCCACGGACAGCCAGGGAGCAAAACTTTTATGATATTTGAGAGCATGAAGAGGACAAAAGGCTGGACTAAAGCCACAATGCTTCCTCCTTCCAGGTGGCAGCCCACAACTCACCTAAAGACCCCTTTAAAAGTGCTGGGGCAAGGCAAGCATGCATGGTGGCAACTAGAGAGCCCAGAGACAGCAACAAGTAGTATATGCATACACGATTACAGCTACAACCACCTCTCCAGCACACCCACAAGGCTGCTTCTCCAGTCTTTCTGAATAATCCAAACTGTCCTTGCACATCTCCACACTTTCCCATCAACAGACCTCCCATTCCAGCCCCACGCCTCAGCCAGAGCACCAACCAGAGGCAAAAAGCAACCCCTTGTGACTGTGACTGACATTTCACCAACACATGTCAAGACCTTTATGGAAACTTCGCAAAATTATGCTGCAAAGATGTTTGAAAGTTCCCAAATTTGGGGCCACACACTGTATCAAGACCAGGTCTTACCATTTACGTACAAGTAACACTCCCTGCTGCTTCTAGGAAGAGAGGGGAAAGAGAATGAACTCTCTCTTAGGTGGGAGACACTTGGCCACTGATCAAACCTACACAGTTTTACCTTGACATTAGTAAAGGTGGAAAGACACACAGGCTTCAAAACACATGTCAATACACATTACACTCATCTGTCAAACTAAGGAAAAAGCAATGCTAGTTTACCATTATTAGACAGGTTTGACGAGACTCTCCTGTAACACAAGACAGCAAACCATCCTCATGCTGCATGGTTTGGATTCAATATGCCAAACAAAACTGCAACCAGCTTGCCAACAAATGAGATGTTATTAATGTTCATATATCTTGGACTTCACCCTAGGTTTTACAAGTTTTTGCTGCCCTCACATCACCCAAGGCATTTCAAAACCTTGCTGCAAAGAGAGAATTGGAGAGAACATTGTTTCCAACACATTTGCTATTAAATATTTAGGCCTCGATTCTCCAGTGAATTTTTTGCCTCTGATGGCAGGATTACATACATAGTTAAAGCCAGGCATGCAGACTTTGGCAGATGTAGGATCTTAATTCCTCTGAACACAAACCCACAATCCACTACCAAGCAACCAGCAAACTCTCTCAAACCAAACTTGTACATTGTCTTTGTATACATGTACTGAACTTTCTGTGCAGAATTCACTTACGAGAGAACTGCCCTGGCACACCTCAAGGCACAAAGTTGTGGCACAGGGGAACTCTTTGGTAGGCATCCCTCCATCTCTCCAGTCTTAAAGGTTATGCTGAATCTGTCACTTACCACAGAGCAATTAAGTTTAAAAAAAAAAGAAAACTGGTTTCACAAGAAAACCAACAGAGATTAGTTCATTTTTTTAAACCCTGAAGGTGATTTTTCATTAAGTCAATGGGAGCACTTCCATTACAGAAGTGTGGCTCTCCTTCACATTTTACAGAGAAGGAAAATACAGCAGAATCCAGACCTAGTTCACTCAAAAGGCCCTGAGTTCTTTCATTAAACCAGAAACAACATCCAGGAGTCAACTCCCAGACTTGAGCGTCAACCACTAAATCTGCTTCAAAGCAATTCCACTGCTAAGCTAATGGCTGCAGGAGACTGTTCCTATATCCACTTAAACCAGCAGACACTAATCTCTCCATCTGCAATAGATACACATGCCATAGGGGTCTGGACAGGGTAAGTAGAACAGATGTTTAAGTACACATACAGTCTGGGGAATCATCTTCACAGCTCAGTTGCTAGCTTCACAGGGCACAGGAACTAAGAGATTTCTAGAGAGCTTCACAGGACACAGGAACTAAGGAGATTGAGACACCTGTCCTTTCTTGTACCTTGCTGAGGAAGCATTAACTCCAGCAGGAAGGTGTAAGCAGGCATGCATGTGTCATACCTACAGATAGTGCACAGCTCCCAAACACTCCCAGATACATCTGATTCAGATAAACCGATCCATACCCATGACAAAAAGAGCATCATGCTACAAAACCAAACCAGGAGCAGCGTAGCACTGCCAAAAAAAGCACCTACATGTGCTCAAGTACTCATTAAAAATATTATTCCTAAATGCCTGAACTGCTGGGAGATTTTTGGCTGCATCAAGGCAACTGCT